AAAAAAACAAAATGCGGAGAGATGCGGGAAGAAGTAGCATACGGGAGAACAACGCCCGCGGAAAGATTGTACCCCGAGGTTTGATTGACACTTCGCTATTTCCCCGCACCTGCTGAGGAGGGGGAGCGGCGTAACCCGGCTGCTGCTGCTGCTGCTGCGGGTGCGGCGCCAGCACCACGCCCGGCGGGGGGGGCGCGGCGGCGGTGTGCGTAGCGGTAGCGGCAGCTACGGGGTACCCTCTAGGAACAGCGGCCGGCAGCATGACCACGGGGGGGGCAGCTTGGCGCTGCTGCTGCTGCTGCTGCTGCTGCTGCTGCGCGGGCACAGCGGCGACCGGATGCTGTTGCTGTTGCTGCTGAGGGTATCCCTGCTGCTGCTGCTGCTGCTGTTGCTGCTGGGGGTAGGCCGCGTAGCCGGTGGGGGGTGCGTACCCCGGTGCCTGCCGGCGACAACACGACGGCGGAAAACGATCGTTGGCAGGAAAAGGAGCATGAACATGCGCCAGGCGAAAAACGACACCGCCGCCAACGCCATTTCGTGCACAGGTCGACACGATAAAAACAACACGGCCGACATCGACAACAACCAAAAACCAGCAAGTCACAGGGACAACCGCATCGCAACAACAATGGACAGAGCTAGAGGGGGAGCCACGGATAGGAAAGAGTACACGCGTGGGCGACTTTCATGCGCCTACCTGGTAGGCGACCGGGGCAGCCGCCGCAGTCGGCTGCTGCTGCTGCTGCAAGTACGCTCCCTGCTGCTGCTGCTGCACTACCGGCGGAGGGGGGTGGGACATGCCGTGCGGGGTCGCGTACACGGGAGCCGCCTTCAGCGCGCGCAGGAGAGGGGGGGGGGGGGCAAGGGACCCTAAAAAATCAGTGCAATTGAGGAGGTGCGCGGAGGCAACATGCTGGTGTGCATTGAGCATGTTTCGAAAGGATTTGCTGCGGCTGTTGTGGGACGATGCCCGGAACCCGGGCGGGGCAGCACCGGTGCAATTAATTTGAGCATGCGTGTATGTATCCGGGGAAACGTACTGCTGCTGTATTTAGGCATATCGCCACCGCTGCGTCACACCACATGCAGAAAGCAGGCAACCACAAAAGTGCGTACGTCAGCTCCGGTGACTGCTAACGCGTCCAAGAAGGCACGCACGAACCAGCCTGTTGTTTTCCATCCAAGCACCAGCACCCAGTAGTACTATGCCCCTGTTTCGCCAGCAACCATCACGGCTCACCACCCCAGCTATGCTTGTCACGGTTGTTCGAGATCGCAACAAATCACGGGGGGTTCCACCGCGTTGTTCAATCAATCAAAGTCTCATCCTCATCCTCCTAGGCTGTGCCCCGCTGCGAGCCAAACTCGCCCTCCCGCCCCCCGATCGCGAAAAAGCGGCGCGCGCGTCCCAACTGGAACCGAGGTGCGACAATCCTCCCGTCGTCGGTGCAAAAGCCCACGACACCGTGGGTGACACAAGATGCCACACCCCAAGGACCGACATTCAAATATCGATTTCTCCACATCAGAGAGTGTGGCGGTTGCTGAAAACGGCGGCGCTGAAGCCATCTCGTCGAGAGCTTTCCGACATACCTATCGTTTCATATCCATGTAGCCTTTTCGTCGTCGAGTACTCGAGCGTTGAGTCAACTACGGTTATGCTGAACGCTCGCGATTCTGTGGCAAGACGCCGAACGGGGCGACCTCGGTTTCGACTTTCCGAAGCGACCAACAGTTGGCCATCAAGACGGATTGCCTTCAAGAGGATAGCAATTAATGGCGGGGGGTTCGTTACCCTAACACTATCCCTCCAACCCAATCCCGTACCCCCTAATGAGACCAAGCTTTTTATGTCCTAGCGAAGGATACTGGTCAAGATTCACCCTGGCTGCACACCACCCGGCACCGGCACCGCTGCCAAGCCCGCCGACAACACAAACAAAACGATCAACTCCCAAAAGCAAGCCCATCACACACTTGATTGAAAAGGAATTCGCGAGCGCAAAACGTTAAGGGATTCAAGACAAGTTGTTTTGACGCTAGGTCTAATTTGATACTTAAAAAATCAAATGTGAGAAGGAAAGCAAACTTCCCGCCGTTTAGGTTCTATTGTACGCATTCTGCTGTTCTCAGTAGAGTACACCATGACCTACTGGAGCTGAAGTATCGAAGGTCGCGGCAGCCTCTGTAAACAATCCGTAACCTTCGCCGGAACTCAACGTATGTCACAGCCGTGCTCACTGCCACGGACCGTAATCCCCTCAACGGAGGGTCCTCAGCAGTAGCTAGTGGTACTGGCTACTGCTGTCAACCCGCAGTTCAGGAGATTGGGGTCAGTGGCGGCGAGCACAAGCAGTACAGGACACTTGGGTGTTGGTCTAATTTGAGGAGATTTGCAGAGATTGTAGGCCGCTACTATGACCCTCGATATCACCACCCAAGAAGCAGATTTGAGCGGGCTACACCGCGGCCATAGGGTATCCTCTAGGATGTCCTCTAGCGATAGCAGTAGAATGCGTACAACCTAGTGCAAGACCGACCTTGTTTGAGTGCCTCCCACTTTGACTGTTTTGACTTGAATTTAGAATGGCGTGAATTTTTATCTTGATTGCAAAGGAGGCATGTGGAGGTGGACGAGTGAAATGTGCGTAAAGAGCAGCCTCTACTGCCGCCCTGTGCGAGAACGATCAACAATTCCTGTTATTCGCGATGCCTTCTGACTGGTCTTGTGTGTCTCTTGTGCATTTTTCTGGTGCTCCTGCGTTTGTTAATAAATTGAAATCAACATCAAAACTCTTTTGTCTGTCACACCTTAACGTTAACGTTAACGTTCCTCACCGGAAGCGCCGTCGGGGCCACCCCGCCAGTCGCCGCAACCCCTGGCGCAACCTTGGCCACTCCCGGCGCCGCCGACCCGACCACGTCCATGGCCGCTTGCCCCGGCTGCTGCTGCTGCTGCGCCGCGGCAACAACACCCCCCCCAAGGGCGACAGGTGGCGCGGCCGGCGTCGCCCCTAGCAACGGCGCCTGCGCCGGCCACGTGTGAAGTGAAAATGTTGGGGGGGTTGAGGGGTAATTTTTTCGAGAGGGCGGTGATTGCGACGGGCGGTGCACCCCCGAACGATTAGGTATCTCGGAGATGTGCTTCGAAAAACACGGGCGCGCATGGCTATGCTTGCCCCGTGTGTGATTGTTCGCGCAGCACAGATTGTGCGCACAAGTGGTCAGAACAGGGTCCATTAAACCTTTACAGTAGTGCCCCCCACCGCTGATTGGCTTTATCGCCGGAAAAGGCGACGCCGCTCGCTTTTTACCTGTCGCTGCTGCTGCTGTGGCTGGACTCCTCCGAGGTACACCGTCTGCCGTTGTTGATGCTGCTGGGGCTGCTGCTGAGGCGGCGGTTGCTGCTGCTGCTGCTGGTGCCCTGCGTATTGCGGATGTTGCTGCTGTTGCTGCTGCGGTTGTTGCAGCTGTTGCTGTTGCTGTTGCTGCTGTTGTTGTTGTGGTGGTGGCTGTTGTTGTTGTTGTTGTTGTTGTTGTGGCTGTTGTTGTTGCTGTTGCTGTTGCTGCTGCTGCTGCTGCTGCCGCTGCCGCTGTTGGTACTCCTGGTATTGATTCCACTGCTGCTGCTGTTGTTGCCATTGCTGATATTGCACCTGGTACTGCTGCCAAGCGAGCTGCAACAAAAGTCGGGAGAACGCGTGGTGTTAGGGAACGGGAGACAACCAACGCCCTCAATAAAGACAACGACGTGGATTCACACAGAAAACGATGAAGCCGAGACACGCACATGCATCGAAACAGCAAGCACGATACAAGAGGCCGCGTGTGCACGTGGCAAGGCCGCCGTTTTCCCGGCAAAATCTTCTCCGATATATTTGTCACAACAACGATATATTCACGCGTTCGAGTGACGAAATTTCATGGCACGCATGCCCTGCACGCGTGGTTTCAAGCCATACTTGGGCGTGGGTTTGCCTGCACGAAGAGCCGAAGCAGGGGGAACACTCGCAAGAAGTACTTCTCGCAGGCCCGCGCAGCGAGCTCTCCCATATGAGCAAACTACATGAACGAATCACGAGCCACATAGCAATGAAAACAACTACACAGAGGGAGCAGCATCAGGAACAACAAACTCCGTGTGCACAGCATACGTAGTTCGAGTCAATGTTTGTAGTGTCTTGTGCCTCATGAAATCAAAACCAAACGCTCGACAAAGCATCAACTGGCAAGACACACACACACGCACACACGCACACACCTGCTGGGCAGGATCAAGCCCGGCGGGAGCTGCTTGCGGCGCCGCCATCGCCGCCGTCCCCGTCCCAGGCGCCGCCGGCGCCGCCGCAGTAGGACCCCCCGCTGCCGCCGGCGCCGCCTGCGTTGTCGCCGCAAACCCCGTGCTGGCGGCAGCAGAAGGAGCAGGGGCGGTAGCGGCCGGGGCGGCGGCGGCTGCGGCGCCTGGGTATGG